ATCCCACCCAGCAACATGTAATATATCTCCATTTGTTCAGATCATTTTCTACGTCTTTTGTTAGAGTTTAAAAGTGTTTTTTTCAATAGGAGGGTTGTATATTTTGATTAAGTTAATTCCTAAACTCTTATTATGTTATGGTTGTTGTGCATGGTATCTTTTTTAATTACGTTGTTTAGTTTTATTATATATATATATATTATTTATAGAGAAATGCATTTAAGTTTTTTAAGTTGAGTTTATGAGAGATTAATAACAAAGCAAAAAACCGGTTTTCTGGAAAGATAATAAGGTGAATAGATTGCTGCCGTAACTCTAAAATAGTTAAGGCAGAAAAGTAAAATATGGAACAACATAGAAGAAATAACTACAGACTCAATAATAAAGGTAGAATAAAGAATTATAAAAATGACAGTTCTGTAAACAGTTATATATTCCTAAATATAAGTTGCTAAAATTGGCATAAGAAGAAATAGAAAATATGAATAATACAATAAGTATGTTTAAACAATTGAAATGTTGAAGACTCCTCCTCCCAAAAGAAGTCCAGACTCAAATGAGGTTTACAGATGAGTTCTACTAAATTTTCAGGGAACAGTTCCTATTTTTTCCAAATTATTGCAGGAAATGGAAAGATTAAAAACTGTGCACAGCATATTTGCTGGATCAAAGTAATCTTGTTGCTAAACAAGATGAAGACTACGGAAGGATGGAAAAGTATAGGTTCATTTACTTTAAGAATGTTATCCTAGGAGTGCAAAGATAGTTCAGTATCAGAAATGACTAAGGCTGTATGCCAATAAAACATTATGGACACTAAAGTTTGAATTTCATATAATTTTTATGTATCATGAAATATTATTATTCTTTGGATTTTTTTAAAACTATTTAAAAATGTAAAAACCATTCTTAGCTCACATGCTGTACAAAAACAGGTGGTGAGTCAGACTGGACCTGTGGATCATAGTTTGCTGACCCCTGATCTGATTACACAAACTGAGAATCAACACCATTAGAACCAAATCTGCCTTAACCTTTATATTTGCGTTCTCTCAGGAATGTGGAGGGCAGATCGAATCACTTTCCAGTGGTCCACCTCTCTGCAGACACTTTATGTTGCTGTATATGGACATCTCTGTCACTGGTGACTCTTCTCCTAGTCACCCTTGTCCTTGCAGGTTTACATCTGTTATTTACCTTCAGCTCAGCTCAGCAGAATTGCTTTCTCCACTTCATCTTTGCTATGCCAGTCTTCTCTAGCCCCTTAATACTTTGGGGATCTTTACATATTTCTAATTGATACCTTCTGCTGTTGTTCACAGTGGCAGTTCCAAACATGTTTCATTTATTTCAGGCACCCTGTTACACTTCTGCCTCCTTCATTCTTGCATACACTTCACCAAGAAAATAACGATCACAATATTTGTACTCCTTCAACTGGCTGTTGTTCAGCAAAATATATCTTAACAGGAGTGAAAACTACAGCACAAATTGGGGGAAGACATTTGTTAGCTTATATAAATGTAAAAAGATTAATATCGAAACTATATTTTAAAAAACCCTATGAATCAAATAAGAAAATGACAATCCACTAGAAAAATGGACAAAAGATTTGACAAACATTTCATAGAAGTAGAAACCCTAATGGCCAAATGTGAAGAATATGTGAGGAAAAGCTCAATGACATTAAAAATCAGGGAAACCCAAATTAATTGCAGAGATAACATCTCTTACCTGCCAGATTGACAAAAAAATTTTTTTAAAGATATCAACTGCTTCTGAGGTTATGGAGTAACTGGGATATAAATTGGTACAACTACTTTGGAAAACAAGTTGGCATTACCTAGTAAAGTTGAAAATGCCCATAACATAGGACCGAGCAATTCTGCTTTTACCCACGTTGTAGAGAAACTCGTGATTGCGTACATGTGCCAGAGGTCATGTTACAAGGGTGTTCACAGAAGCAGTGTTTGTCATTGTTAAGGACTAGAAACAATGTCATCCCCAGTAGAATGGATAAATAAGTTGTGGTATATTCATACTTGGAATTCTATACAACAGTGGAAATGTATGAATTACTGCTATATACAACAAGATGGATACTTTTCTGAATATAACATTGAGCCAAAAATTCCAAAATACTTACAGTATCAATTTATATAAAATTCATTTATTTAAAAAACTAAATAACAGATATCTTAGGGTATAGGCAGGTGGTAAAGCTGAAGAAAAGAAAAGGAATGATAAAAACCAAATTTGGGAGGGAATGGGATGTGACTGAGGAGAGTGCGTGCACTGGGACCTCAAATGAAATAGTAATGTTCTTTTCTTCAGTTGGATGGTGGTACTTGGGAATTTGTTGTGTGTGTGTGTGTGTGTGTGTGTGTGTGTATCTACACACATGTCTACATGTATTTTATAAATATTCCTTCATATCTGCTCAATATTTAATAGCAGTATTTCCAAAATCATTTAATAGGCACACAAAATTGTTTTCTTTCAGATCTTTTCGATTAAGAGTTCCACTGGAACAGTCTTTTCTGACTAGTGCTTCTGGGTTGTGAAATGATATAGTGCAATGGGAGCTAGTGTAAATCTGCTTCTTTTGAAGGGAAGTTGTAACTTACAAATTGGTTCCTGATTATCTGCTGGGAGGAAAACCGTAGTTCATTTTATTTTCTGTATAACACTATAAATATCTCTCTTGATTTTGGAAACTCTGGAGTTTTACAGTGGTTTTTCTCCCCTTACATTATAGGATTGAAGATCTTATCTTCTGTTTCTTGAAAGAGTATAAAGAAAAGTGGGTTATTTGTGGTTTTGTAAGTTATTCCTCAAACAGCGAGCCTTCCAAAGTGAAATTCATTTTATTTATTTGCTCTTAACATCTAGTTTTTTAACCCATCTGAATTTACTCTGGGGAGTGGTGTGAAGTAGGGACCTAAATTTATTTCTTCCAAGTGGCTATCGGTTGTTCCACAACATTTATTGAATGATGAATCACTGATTGGAAATTCCTTTATCATTTACTACTGCAGCAGCTACTAACCAAAATTTGGAGTACATACTGGGACCAGACACTATTTTAAGCACTTTCCAAGTATTATCTTCAAACCCACCCATTTTACAGTTGAAGAAATAAGGCACAGGGAGGTTAAGTGATTGCTCAGTGTAACACAGCTACTAATTAGTGGAGCTTGGATTTTAACCCACAAGTCTAGCTCCAAAATCCATGCTCTTAACTTTATATAAGCATGAGATGTTTGAATTAACAAATTAGCACTTCCCAGGCAGCCTGAGCTAGTAATTGCTATGTTTTTCACCTTTTGGATCATTTTTGAAAATTTAGTGCAGGAGAAATGGAGGCCAAATTGTGGTTTTTAAAATTGAAGATAGTCATGGAAATCTAGGGTGAACCCAAAGTAAAGACAGTATTTCTTAGGTTTATTTTAACATAATTTCTGATAACAAAGGCGGCTAAGATCTTTAAAATATTTTCAGAATGTTATCCAGTTCTAAAATTTGAGGATATGATTAATTATACTAGTGAGGTTTATTACTTGATTAAGTAAATGTTGGTGCTACTAGGAGTTTTATTTAGTATTGAGATGATTATCAGTTACTTTATTATTTTCTGAATTGCTTATTCTCTTTTTCACTTGGTGTAAATGTGAAATGATAGAATGATTTGGAAATTTATAGCCAGACTAACCTGGATTGAAATTCCAGCTCTGTACTTACTATATTTCCTTGGGCTGGTAATTGAAACTCTCTGAACCTCTGTTTTTTTCATCTTTAAATTAAGTAATAATACTCAGGAGTGGTATCATATTTAAGATGATAAAGTTCCTGTCAAGATACACAGTATGCTGTAAATATGCTATATATTTTAATTCCTTCTTTAAAATATGTATATGAAAGCCCTTGGCTGAAATTAATAATTTGCTTTTCCTATTTATATCTTCTATAGAGGAATATAATATTTTGAATTTAAGGGAACTCTGGAGTTAACTCTTAGCTAATTTTTATGAGTAGAATTTCTATCTCAGATAATTATAATTCAGTGTCTTCAAATAATTTATTTCTGTTCTTTTTGTTTGATCATTCTAGGATACATAGACAGTTTTTTCTAGAGAAAAGTTGTGAGGCCATCTCAACCTGTGAGATGGCATAACCATAGTTTAAATGTTTCCTCCTTTTATGATTTCTGAATGTACTTTTAAAATCAGCCTCATAGATACCACATCATTATACATACTATAGCAATAAGATGAAGTGTTGAACCGAGCCTCGGGGCTCTGAAGCTCCTGAGATTCTCTCATTCTCAGAAATGCACGTTATCTAAAAAATTTTCCTAGAACAGATGGATGTCAGGTTCATATACTACTTTTATTAGATGTCAAGATACTCGTCTCCAAATAACTTTACAGTTGTAAGCTTTATTTAAACACTTAAACCATTTTATATGGTAGATTGTGAAGTACATTAGTCAAAATTCTGATATTTTATGTGACATTTAAGAATTAATTCATTTTACTGAAATAAATTAAAATTCCTTTAATATTAACTTTTTTCTTGAATAATTTAGAAATTATATTAAATTGTATGGTTTTCTGTATTATTTATAATTACCAATATATTGTGTCATATGTTTATAAAAGTGCTGATGAGGTCTGGCTGATTTAACACCCAGCTGAGAGATTACAATAATGAATTACTCATTTTTTATGAACATATTTTATGTCAAGTAAGCAGCATATACCATAAATACATATTTTGCAGTTGAATAGAAAAGCCTGTTATTCAGTTTTGTGGGTAAATGCGGTATGGTAGAGTAACTTTTACCAATCACATGGGAACTCTTTCATAGAAAATTATAAAATGAGAATGATTGATGATTTACTGTTTGGCTCAGATGAAAAGAGATTTTAAGTTACAGCCATGTAGCGTGTCTCAGAATGAATGAAGGTGTTATTTGTCTCTCCCTCTTTCTCGTCTAGGTGCAGCAGTCGCCGGCATTTACAGAGTGGCAGGGAAGAACATGGCCCCCTTGGAAGCACTGGTGTGGGGCGTTGGACAGACCGTACTGACATTAATCATCTCCTTTTCAAGGATTCTCGCCACACTCTGAGGTTTCTGTGGGCATGTCTTACTTCACATAAGGAAGCAGATGTACAGATTCTCTGAAAATGGCATTGTTAACAAGTGGGAATGAAATTGTACAAGAATGTGGAAGGAGCGGGTCAAAACATAAGGCCTTGAGCTGTGTGGGAAGATTGCCCTCTGGTGTTCAAGTGATTGCACTACTGCACCGCACCTTACGTGCCTCCGTCCCAGGCAAGGCGCATGACACTACGTGAAGCTACAAGAAAAAGCACCTTGTTTAGCTGCCAATCAGGTTAACACTGGCGTTGAATCATCGTTCTTAACAGTGTTGTGTTAAGTTACAGGGATGTTTTGAAGAATTGACATATGTGCCAAACTCTTTTCTTTTTTTAACATGGATAATGTGAAATTTGCAAGTGTAGATGTAGATGAGTGCTGTGAACATATTTGACATGAATTCAGGTGGTGTAGTGAGATTTTTGTTTTGTAACGCTAAATCCCGTATGAGTGCTGAATACCGAATCATTTAATATGAGACAAATTATTTGATTTTTAATGTCGAACGTTTCTGGGATTTAGGGCTTTCATATAAATTAGGCATTATTGTTACTTATGTGAAAAATAATACTTAATGGAAAACTGCTGAACTCTTTTAAGGACTCAAAGTAGATCTATAGGGTGCATCCTTTTCACTCACTTAAGTAACACTCTTTTAATAGTTCCCCTCATACATGAACATTCTATTGATATGAATTTTAAAACTTTATGGGTCATACACATTGATTGTAGCTATGTGTCACAAAAGTATAATTTGAAAATTTTCTTATAAATTTTGTAAGAAATCTGAAATGCACGTTGCATTCTTGACCCTTCTAAAGAAAGTTTTTGCCATGTAGCTCATGGAGAAAACATCTTTACAACTAGTATCTCAGTGGGATTATATCACTTGTTGCATATATCTTGATTTTTGACAAAACACAAGCAGTCTTTCATTCTGGAGTATTAACTGTATTTAAAGAGTGGCCTAAATTAGGCTATGAAAACAAGAAGCCTCATTTGTAGATAAGAAACATATAGGAAGAGTAATAAACTATCTTACTTTGGGTATGTGGTAGCATCATAATTTCTCTAAGTAAAAATTGGGGAATATAGTAAATAATTATAAAATTTGGCAACAGATCTCAGCATATCAATACAATATTGAATGCATATTTGAGTTATTCATTTCAGTTGTTCAGCTCTTGTTTTATGCTGTTATTTAAGTTTACTAGAATCTGTGATGATATTTATTAGAATGAAAAAATCCTTAGAGGTTTTAAGAGGTTTTGGCAATATGTAATTGTATTTAAGAGTACAAGAAGTAAGGGCAACACAGAACCTGGTGGAATTTGTCTCCTACTGAGATTTTTTTAATACCAGGTACAATTATATTTATGGTAACTCAAAGGAAGAGCCAACTGCAGAAAATATAAGTTAAGGACAATCCAGAAAATAATCTGCATACTCTAGCCTCACTGTTTTATAACCTAATTTGGAAAAACGTAAGTTTCTATTAGGTTCCATTCAAATATAAGACCTTTGTTACCCACGGCACCTTTTCTCCACCAAAAAGCTGAGCAGTATCAACAACTCACCGATGAGGAATTGGGGGTATTTTACCAGTATGGAAGCCAGTTTGGGGCGGTGCGGGAGTTTAATAACACTGTGGCTCGGAAATTTGTTTTTAAAAAACCCAAGAAGCAGGTATGCATTCTTAGAGATCTTTAAAGTAAATCTTAAAATTGATTCTTTTTATTATGTTCAAGCCTGAAATTGCTTTCATGTGTTCTTTATATTCCTGACATTTTCCTAAATTAAATTTAGGTCTAAATCTTCCAAGTCAATTTGATTTTTCCTTTTCTGTTAGACTTGAATTGTGTTCTTCCTTTACTTTGGTTATTCTTTAAATTCTTTGGTCAATAATTTAAAGTGTTCATATTTTGGGGGAGGAATTACCAGTAACATGTTGAAATGGTTTGAGATCTACAGAAATGAATATTTATTTTAACACATGGTTATTTTATGTTTCAGAAAGTTACCATGGTAAGGTAACATGGAACACATGGTTCAGAGTCTGAAATTAGCCAGAAAATAACTTGGACACATTAAGTGTATGGCTGCATGGACCAAAGAGAATGAAACTCCTGTTTCTGCTCTAGAATGAAGTATGAGAAGGTGGATCAGTTTGTAGTGTCCTGCAGTTATCTCATTATCAAGTTGCTTTATGTTATGAGGAGTGTGTGTGTGTGTGTGTGTGTGTGTGTGTGTGTGTGTGTGTGTGCTTTTAACTTTTGGGGGAATTTTTGGTTTCTTTGTTGTTTTTAGTTGCTTCCATTGGGATTTTGTGCAACTGTTACTATTTCGATGTTTTGAAATGCAGTTGATAGTGTGAATTGATGAAATGTCTTAATAGCTATTTCTGTGATGAGATTTTTAAAATGTTATTGGTTTTCTTATAGAGACAAGAAACATTTAATGATATATATCTACATACACACATATCATTATATACACATATATATATAAAGCTGCTATATATGAATACAGTCTAATTGGAAAGCTTTTGTTCAATGAACACTTGGACATTATTGTGGAGAATTTGATACATTTGCTCAGTTGAATGATCTTTTAAATAGGTTTAAGGAACTTTGAGATTTTTGAATTTGGGGAAAGTTTTCTTGGTTTAATAGTGCTAGAGATCCTTGTTTGTGATGTGACAAAAGCCCTTATTGATGTATTTGGGTTAAATCTTAAAATTTACATGTGACTTAGCAGTAAATTTTCTGTGAAAAATGCAGGAGGGAAGGGGAAAATCCTCTGCAGTTTACACTTCGTTATTTTTTTAAATGCTTAATAAAATATTGCTGACAGTGAAATCAGTTCCTCAGAGAAGAGACTCCTATATGCCCAAACTAATTATTAATTAGTTAACACGGGAGTTAACATAAGGAGAGTCCTAAATGGTGGCCATATTCAGTGTTTGCAGGTTAATTATTCTTACTTTAGATCTTAGTGTTTACTGAACAGTGTTATAGTTTGTAACCCAATGTACTTTCTTAGTATTTGCAGCATATGTTTCTACTGCCCCCCCAAAATGTGAGGGTTTTGTTTGTACTTTAAGTGAGAAATAAAGAAATGAGCTGCCCTGTGTATCATATATTTGTGATGTAAGGAACAGGAATAGTTTTTAAAATGTTCTTGGAAGACGTCTTTAGAGAACCTCTAATTAAGATGAGGAGAGTGGGGCTGCCACGTCAGTGTGCCCAAGCTGGCACTTACACGCCAACGAATTCAGTTTTGTAAACATTTTTGGTGGATCTACCATGTACAAAGTGCTGAACCTGGTATTTTCTGTAGTAAGTACAAGGATGACCAAGATGGGGTTCCCGCCCTTGAGTCCCCAAGAGCTACCAAGATGATTTAAATCCTAAAACAGTTGGGAGAATATCTTACTTCTAGCTGAGAGCTTAAGTCCTGTTTTTTCCCCCAATTCTGATTTTTCTCAGTTTATTAATCAAATGGAATACTGTGACATAGATTTGAATCCAGGCCCTCCCACTTGTTGACTTTTTGTTTATGATGGTGAAACAGTACAGTCAACTCTCCATATCTGCGGCTCCGCATGCAGGGATTCAACCAACCTTGGATTGAAATATTCAGAAAAAATTTCCAGAAAGTTCCAAAAAGCAAAACATAAATTTGCCCCACACAGGCAACTATTCATATAGCATTTACACTCTATTTACACCATTTACATAGCATTTACATTGTATAAGGTATTATAAGTAATCAATAGATGATTTAAAGTATATGGGAGAATATGCATAGGTTATATGCAAATACTACACCATTTTCTATAATGGCCATTTTCTATAAGCATCCTCAAATTTTGGTATCCATGGGGGTGCTGGAATCAATCCACTATGGATACTAAGAGACGACTCAGTATTTAACAGTGAATGATCAATAGTCATTATAATTTTTTTTAAATACACTTTGCAATACCAATTGAATATATTGTTTTGGAAGATTCAACTGTTTTCTTCCATTTCTACATTTTCCCTAC